GACTTCATTTTCTGCTCAGGACGACATTACTCCATTATATCCTTACGAAGCACATAGTTGTTTGCTGCTCTATCAATGCTCTGAATCCCGCATATTGCACCTTTAAAGTATTCGGTGTTCAAATAATTCGAAGTAACCCCCTTTTGAAAAAACGTAAACGTCTTTACCTAGCCCCATCACATGAGGTTTGCTTAAAGCATAAGAATTTAAACATCACAGGGTAGAAATGATAAAAAGCAGATTTTCGTTGACCGTAGGCCAACAGACAATATAAAAAGTTTACTCCCATGCATTCCGTCACATCCCGCAGCAGAATATCTTTTTGAAATGCATATTTCTCCTCCCTTGATACATAAGAATAGTGTTCTTCTTTTCCTGTTGAATACCCTTCTCTCCCCGTCTCTCAGACAAACACCCGCGCTCACAATGGCAGGACATCTTTCTTTAACTCCGTCATTCCCGCTTGTTTTTTTTTCTCTCTCCGTCGTCCTCATCTCTGGCTTAATCTGCCCTCCCTTTTTTCCGCGCCCGACCCTCTCCCACATCACACGAAGCTATTTCATTGAGTGTCCTCAGATGTATATATTATAGAGGCCTCGTGCACGAAGGCCTACACAGAGTAAGAGTCAAAGTCACTTGTCTCTGCATCGCCCCCGTCCTCCCGCCCCGCGCTCCCCAAACACTCTCTCGCTCTCTACTGTTTATGGAGTTGTTTCATCATGTCTTCTTACATGCATATTATAGAGGCCTGCCCTACGCAAGCGGCATGGCTCCGATGAAACATTTGAATAATTTATCATCTCCAGTCTGCCTTGCCACACTTTAGAAAGTTTTTCCCAACAAAGTCGCAAAATTATTCATGTTATCTACATCTGCATGAAGGGAGGGGCGAACAGGGATGAAGCTAAATAGATTGCTACTCGTGCACGCTGCCCTTTTTCCCGTCAGCTTCACACTTATTGTATTTTGGCCTCATTTTCTCCGACTGCCCCTCTCCTTATGAACTTCAAGGTTGAGGATCTACTTAAGTTCAGGTGAGACAATCTGATTGTATATTCTACGGAGCACCTGAACACCTCGGTGTGAGAGGAAAGACACGTCGTTATGAAGGTTTCCTGAGCAACCCTGGAGGTATTTTTGTTCCGTCACATATACACTGTTAAAGTTAATCAGAAGGAGACCGAAATACACTGTTTTACAAGGTGTTACAAGCATTTTATAATAATGACTACGACTTTATCAAAACAACTTATGCAACATTCATTCTTTGCACGCTTATTTCAATGCTTTCACATACATCAAAACTTAAAAAAAAACTTGTTGCTACAGTTCTGTTTCTCAAAGTCAACCCCCACATCGTTTCACACCTATTATGTTTCCCACCTCTAAATTATGCTGTGAAAAATAACTCAAAGTGGACAGTTTGCTTCTGAACAATACCCAAGTACAAGAAAATGAACAAAAAAAAGATATTCAGAGGCCCAGTAGCACTGGCTATTCTTCATGCATTGATTTCAGAGCTTGGCTGCAATCTGTCCCAGCATTATTTTAGTGTTGAGATTTAGCTTGACATCCATGTAACCACAAACAAAAACTCAATTGTCATAGCACATTTGTTACTGGAAAGATTTAAAGTGTCTTAAAGGATATCCTCAATCGACCCTTGGCTGCTACTCAGTCAAGCTGTCAGAGCTACTTTAACATGGAGCCCACACTGTCACTAACTGCACTCGCTGAATTAATATCATCTCATTTTTAGTTGGAGCTGGCGATGCTACGCTATGATTGTCTGCGCTCGAGGGGCAGGACTTAGCGAAGGGTCAAATCTGACATCGTTTCCCAAACTTTTTTTTTTGGCGGCCCAAATAAAATCTCCTGTCTTTGGGAATGACTGAGAGTAATGAGTAATGAGAGTAATCAAATGCTGGCATCCTATTCTAATCTCTTAAATATAC